TTCCCATTAGGGGAGTCATATATGACCAATGCAGCCTCCTTTTTTCCTTTATCTGTAAAGGCTGTAATAGTCTCTTTTATGTGTTTGTGGCAGAAGAGTCAAGGTGGGAGCCAGTGAAGCACCAGAATAACTGACAGCCATTTATCTTTGGGATAGTGATTATCAATCTGTCACAGGAAGCCTATTAAGCTAATTGAAAAAGAAGAATGGTGTTTTAGGAGCCATTGCACATCTGATAACAGGAAGGGGATAATGAGGGTATCAGGGTCTTTCCCTATAATCTGTAGGGTTCTTTCTCTTTCTTGACGAATCATAGATGCAAGGGTATCTACTTCTGTAAGAAAGTGAGGAGCACCCCCTACTGGTGTGTGAAGCCATTCTAGTACTCTGTGTGGCTGATGAATTGCTCCCACTGTGGTGGGTGAGGAGTTAAAAATTAAGAGTTGAACCAGCACCTTGGGGTCATATCTGGCTAGCGATGCCTTTTGGAAGTGGTTAATTATTTGGAGAGCCTTTTTGACATCTGGGTTTAGATACCGTCTGGAGGCTCAGCACCCCCTACTGGTGTGTGAAGCCATTCTAGTACTCTGTGTGGCTGATGAATTGCTCCCACTGTGGTGGGTGAGGAGTTAAAAATTAAGAGTTGAACCAGCACCTTGGGGTCATATCTGGCTAGCGATGCCTTTTGGAAGTGGTTAATTATTTGGAGAGCCTTTTTGGCATCTGGGTTTAGATACCGTCTGGAGGCTCGGTTTTTGTCTCCTTTTAAGAGATCAAAGAGGGTGTAATTGACTTGTGGGGATGGGAACCCAGGGCCTTAGTCAATTAATGTTGCCTAAAAAGCTCTGAAGGGAATTAAGGGTAAGGGGATGGGGGGTATCCAGGATAGATTTAAGGGGCCTAACAGTAGTAGATGTTATTTCAGTCCCCAGGAAGGTAATGGGGGGAACTAATTGTATCTTGTTTGTGGCTATCATAACACCTCTTGTCTCTAGGGTGTTTATCATAGCATCTCTCAGGTCCTCTAGAG